CTCAGCCGTCTGAGGAAGTAGAGTCTCTGATGAGCTTTCTTGATCAGGCTGGTGGTGTTGTTGCTCCAGCTGAGGTTGTCATTCATGTGTACACCCAAGTACTTGTAGCTGGAGACCACTTCCACCGCAGATCCTCTTATGTTCAGGGGGGTGTAGGTGTTTTTGTTCTTGATTTCTTGATACCTGGAGAACTTTGATCGAAGATAATATTTCTGGCTTGTTTTTAAAGTTTGGGAACAACGAGTCAGCTGCTTCAATGATTTACTCTTTCCCCATATCTACATCTTAAAGACTTTTTCTGCTCAACAATTATTAAAGTGACTCACCCGCACTGATGCTTCAGCATCTGCCGGTCAGCTGTAAGAAAAACGACTGCTGTCCGGATAACTGGGATTTTAGTTCCTTCACCTTTTTCTTTATCGGCTCGCTTTTCAGAAGGAAGTCAGTGCCGTGGTTTTTATGGATAGTCCAAAAATGCTGCTCCGGTACACTTGCAGATGAGGCAAATGCACTTCGAATATGACAATTCTGTATGGAAATGGTAGGTTTTTTGCTTCTTACTTGGTCCAGCTCCCCCACTCATTTTACACAGTTTCTGGTGTTTAGATTAAAAGAAATAAACTGGAGGCTATTACTAGAAACATTACTAAACAGGTCTCACTTGTAAATGAATATTTGAGGCTCAGTGTGATTTATCTGTTTAAATAAAGGTTGAATGAATGAAAAAACTAGCTCGGTTGTTTGCGCATGCGTGGTGACCTATGCGTCAGAAAAGGTCCGGTCTGAGATTGGCTAACCTGGATGTCAATCAAGTGACAAACTGCATAGTAAGGATGGATTGATAGGTTGATGTCTATTAAAAAAAAAAGAAAAAAGTCTGATGTCATGTGATCTACTCAAATTGCCTTCGCGATTGACCGGTAGATCGCGATCGATGTATTGGGTACCCCTGCTCTAAATCCATGTAATCATTGCACTTTATTCTAGTTTGATTTATGGCAACACTTGCATTTATAAACAATGAGAAATGGATATTGTGCCATTTCTAGACTGAACTTTTATTTATTTACCCTTTATTTATACCGGAAAGTCTCACTGAGTCACTAGAACTTATTTTCAAGAGAGACCTGTTTTGGGAGCAAATGGTGGGGGTTAAGGGTCTTGTTCAAGGGCCCAGAGTGGGGAAAATGAGGGTGGAGGCAGGTGTGGGTGTTTCACCTTTTCCACCCACATTTTGATGTTGTCAGTCCAGGGAGTTGAACCTGCAACTGTCCGATCACTGGCCCATCTTCTCTAACATCTGCACCACCACTCCCCTACAACTTAATCCTGCCCAGACTCTTCAGACTCCACTGCAACATTTTAAATTTGCAGCAATTTCTGCAGAAGCATGCAATGATTAGTTGTCAGGCAGACATTTCACACCATCTCAGGCCCACACGGTCAAAAGAGGAGCATGATTATGTCAAAAAGTGTGAATAATGAAGCCTCGTTATTTCTGTGATGTGATTATTGGGGGAAAGAGTGACAAAGAGGCACTTTTTTGCTTGAGAAAAAATGGATTAATAAAGAATTTACTTCTACGTGCACGTTTATGGTTAGTGCATATTAATGGACTTCCACTGCTAGGCTCAGCTGAGATGAAGGTTAGCAGAATATATTAATATATAGAATATTGTTTTACTGAAAAGTTTTTTAATGAGTCTCTCTATTATGTATTTTTAATCAGAACATAACTGACTATAGCTTTGCTTCAACATAATAGCTTTTAGGAAGCAACAAAACTACAGTTTAGAAGGCAGACATGCTTTATACATCAAATTAATACAGTAATTATCCAAACAGGATTCTTCTTGTGTGTATTTATCTCACTTAAATGGTTTGGTGTAATTCACGGCTGAAGGTTATAAAATCTAATGCAAATTTAAGCCCCATGACTAAAGTACAACATTAATTATTGGGGTAGATGGTGGTTAATTGATGTTAATTTTGCAGATTTATGTTTATGGTTCATTAATAACTTCATATTTAAATCAAAGCACAGTTTGCTGTAGAGGAATGTTTTTTGGCTGGGGTGACTGAGATAGAAAACACAACAAGCTAAGTTCCTTATAATAAAGTCCAGTGTATTGTCTGCATTGGGAAATGTCTTTAGTTCACATGTTTATCAATTGTGATCAACCAAAGGAAGCTGTCTCCTTTGTTCAATTCTTAAGTTATGTACATTAAAACAGACATCTAAAAAAGCTGGAAAGAAAATGGCGCTCCACTAATGTAGAGACATTTTAATTAACTTGGAGACATAGTCTGCTAACGTATAGAAGAGTCCTCTGTAAAGCTAGAACTGTATATTGTATTATTCATCAATAGATTCTTTTCAGTTAGAGAGAAAATTCAAACCATCCTTCCTACTATTGCCTCTGATTCCCTGTCAGATGAAGCAGCTTTAGAAATGTCACTAGAAGACATTGACATCCCTGTCCCACAGGGAAGACTGGAGCCGCAGACATCCAGTGGCCCCCTACAGTAGTTAAAGTTATTAAACAGCACGGGATAAATTTTCATTGTTATGCTGATGATACTCAGTTATATCTTGATGCATGCTCAATAATCCAGGTAGAAAAATCTAAAAAAGTTAAATCTGGTCCTCTGGACATTCAAAAAACTATTTATATTTGCTATTTATAAGACTGAGCTGAATACAGCACCTCAGACTGAAGAAGTTTTTTCAAATGAAAGATTAAACATTTCTACAATTTTATTTTTATTTTTTTAATGTCCAGAAGACCAGATTTAACTTTTTTAGATGCCCAGTTATATTTGGCCATGAAGCCCAGTGAATCCAGTCATTTACTTAGATTACAAGCATGTCTTACAGACATAAAAACCTGGATGACCCTTCATTTTGTGCTTTTAAACTGTGGCAAGACAGAGGTTGTTGTTTTTGGACCTGAGCATCTTAGGAGTAAACATTGCAGCTTTTCACATCCAATAGATGGCATTAATTTGACCTCCAGTTCTAATGTTAAAAACCTTGTTGTTATTTTTGATCAGGATATGTATTTTAACCCCCATAATAAAAAAAGTTACTATGCCTACTTTCCTTCACATGCATAATATCACTAAAGTTAGAAACATCTTGTCCAGAAATGATGCAGGAAAACTGGTCCATGCATTCATCACGTGTAGACGGGACTATTGCAATTAATTGTTTATTATCTGGGTGACCAAAACATCTTTAAAAAGTCTTAAGTTGATCCAAAATGCAGCTGCCAAAGTTTTAATGAGAGTTGGTAGAGGAGATCATCTCTCTCCAGTTTTATCTTCTCTCCATTTGCTCCTTGTCAAATCCAGAACAGAATTCAAAATCTTACTTCTAACATACAAAGCTCTCAACAACCTAGCTCCATCCTATATTTAAGATCCTACTGTTCCATATTTTCCAGAGCACTTCACTCTCAGACTACAGGTTTACTTGTGGTTCCTAGAGTTTCCAAAAGTAGAATGGGAGGCAGATCTTTCAGTTTCCAGGCTCCTCTCTTGTGGAACCAACTTCCAGTTTCTGTCCGTGAGGCTGACACATTGTTCAGTTTTCAGACTGGGCTTAAGACTTTCCTTTGTCATAAATCCTATAGTTAGGCTTGGCTTGGGTTTCCTGACCTATCCCTTAGTTATATACTATAAGCTTAGACTGCTGGAGGACAAATTGACCAAATTTCCTCACTCAGCTGCTGTCTTTGCTTGCTCTACTCTACCTGTTTAAATAGAGTTTTTCCTTTCCACTGTCTCCTTTGTGTTTGCTCAGGATGGGACACTGTGACGAAGTGAAGATTCAACACAACCTGCTGCTTCCTTAGATAGATAACTTTCACTAATTTCCTTTTTATAATGTTTATGAATGTGTTTGTACAGTGCCCTGAGACGACTTTTGTTTTGACTTGGCTCTATAGAAATAAACTGAATTGAATTGTTATAATGTTTGCTCCTCTGGGCCTCCATAGCTCAATGTTCCCTTTGTGAGCGTGGCGCTTCTTTAAACAGATTCCCGAGTACAGTGTGTGAAAATGATCCGTTCACAAATTCAACTTTAAAGAGCCTTTAGGAAATGTATTTCTGTGTAGACACATCAGAGAGCTCAGGAGAGGATTTAGCCATGCAGCTCACAGCGTTGTGGAGCTGCAGACTGGAGCTTCAGTCCTGACCAGCTGTGAACTTCTGCTGTCAAGGCAGCATGCAGCCCATTCAGACACTCAGACGCCCTGTGACAACTTCTTGGAAAACACGAGAAGAATAAAGTAGTAGCTGCTGGAATCAAAATGAGGGGCTTCTTTTCAGAGAGCCTCAGAGTAGCTATTGTCATATCAAAGTGTCAGTGAAGCATTCGCTTTCAACCGTTTACAGACTCTGTTTATTCACTGTTCACCAGAGTGGAAATCATCTGTAATCACTCTTCCTGTAGGTTTTCATCATTATCTGTAGCAGATATTCCTGACAAAAACAGACAGACAGGATTAGAGTTGGGGTCTTTCATTCACAGTAGATCCCCAGACTCACTAATGTGTCAGCAGATGTTGACCACCACGTTACCTACTCCATGGGATTCCTCATGCGTTCGTGCCGCTGCTCCCGAAACACCAATGCATTTTATTTGCTCTACTAGTCTGCACTTTGAGAGAAAAGAAGTGTTTTAATTACAGGAGCCATTTGAAGAATCAATGAGACATTGTGCAGGCTTTCAGCTCAATAGTGGAGTCTTGTGTTTTAAGTAAACCAGAATATTCTGATTTTGTTGGTTAAATGAAGCCATTTGTGGGTTTGTGTGTGCCTGCTTTCACCCAGGTTGCCCTCCATGCGTGTGGCGTTGCTACAGACATGGTTTTGGAGCACTGCATCCAGGCCGGGGCCACCTTTGTCGTCAGTCCTTGTTGCTACGGCTTCATCCAGAATGCCGTCAAGTTCTCCTTCCCTAAGAGGTTTGTACCCACATCCTGCACCTCCCTCCAAGTGTCTCCTCCTTGGGCTTCCACTCAGTAAAATGTTTTTTTTGTTTTTTTCTTGTTGTTAGCTTCCTGTCAGATTAATGTGGCAATGCTTGCTTCTCCTCTCCCCCATCTTTTTTTTTCTTACCCTTTTCGTTTTATAGCCTCAGCTTTCCATCACACTCGCTCTCTATTTTTTTCCCTTCACACACAGATAATATGTCTTGTCGCTGCTTTTTGTGCAGCTCCTGTCTCTTATCAGCACCACTGACAATTTGAGGCAGCAGTGTCACATCACCTCCGCAGCGGGGTCCGTCCCTCACGTTTTCAGTCATGCTGTCAGCACCAGGGGAAGGGGCTTCCCAGTGCTGAGGCAGTTAGGACTAGAGTATAAATAGACCAGCATGAAAATCTGCTTGAAAGAACAGAAATAAATTAGTCTTGTGGGTGGTTTACCGCAAAGAGAACCGTAAATAATCAAAAGAATCACAATGATCGTGCAGTTTAAACGATGCTGTTTGAATAGAGGCGCATGTGACAGAATGCACAAGGCAGTAAAAAGTTTTTTTTTTGGCTGTACTGTTAATTAGTGTTGATCTGTTGCTAATTCTGTAATAGCCATGGAATGGTAATGCTGTAGACAGCTGCAGAAACAACTTTCTGTGAGCGACTGGCTCATCACAAAGCTGTTGTGCTGATTTAATTCAGTGATATTCAATGTGACAATACGTTCGTGTCACCATGTTAAAAAGAATGACGCTGTGTGCAATGTTTTTAGTTTTCATGTCGTCTATAGTCTGTTCAGTATCCAGTGTACTTCTCCACAAGCAATCTGAACTATAATTCGCACAGTTTTAGCCAATTTAATGGTTTTAGTACCAGCTCACCTCTCCTCGTTGGCCCTTTTCATGCAGGCCTGTTGTCGCAGCTCGTGTCCTGTATAAAAACAACTGAGGCCGAGTGTGAGGCCGAAGTTGACCCGCAATTGATGCTCCTGAGCCAGTAACACAGGTAGTCACAGAGTCAAGTTGGGGAGTAAGTGTAAAATGGGGGACATTGCATACAGTTGTCAGTTGTAACCAACGCACTGCTGTTACTGTTTGTGTGTTGTGTTTAGGCAGAAATTGTTGTTGGATATGGACCTCATGTTCGTGCTGTTGTTCGACATATTGTTTTTGTACTATTAGTGCTTAGCACATTTTTAGTCTAACGTTTTTCTTAGTTCGTATCTTAGATCTTATTACTGTTTTCCTTTTACATTTTATACTTTTGTTGGACGTCACTGGGACCCTGTGTACACAATTTCATTCCACCTCATGTACGACGTGGTGGATGACGAATAAAGAAACTTTGACTTTGATCTGCTCAACTGGTTCATGTAGGAACAACCAGGCGGTTCCAAAAGGGGCCCAGCTGTCCTCTCATGTCATGGAGCCAATTTGAAAAGGGCTTTTGTCTCCAGCCACACTTGCTGTAAAGTTTTAGTCATTGTAGTTTGTTAAACAATCTGTGATTCCAAGTTTTATTATTTAATTTTTTTAAGGATAGAACCAGGTTGAGTCCTCTGGACAGATTCTTCTTTGTTGAACAAAGATAAATCTGTCCAGAGGACCTGACTCAATCTGGTTCTTTTCATCTTCTTGGATTATTGAGCAGGCATCAGGTCATTTTTTAAGATGGTTGCTGTGTAGTTGATTTGCACAGTTACTAGTTGCATGTTTTCACCATGCGCTCCAAAGTTCCTGCTTCCTCCTTCAGAACAAAATTACACCATTTTGGTTGAATTGGCAGCTCCAAATATTCCTCCTCAGCAGGAGTCAGGCTCTGTGACTTGGTGGTTCTGTTGAAGATTGTCCCACTTCTTACCCAGTGTGAGTTTAGGATGTGATTCAGCTTCATTTGAATTTTAAAACAATCAAGCGAGGATGTATTAAAGATGCCTTACTCGTTATTTCTAGTGACAATTGTGACGGTTTCTCAAAAAAGGAGGTGGATTTGTACTTATTTCTTACAAGTGCAGTGATTGACTGTTACTAATTAGGAATTGTTTGCTGATGTCAGTGAACGAAGACAGACAGACACTGACTACATGAAGCCGACTTGATTCTTCGCGCTTCAGACTCCTCGTACAATTGAAAAATGACAGAAAATGATTTTACAGCTTAAATAAACAAGAAAAGCTGTGCGTCTACGGGGCAGTATGATTGAAGAATGTCCCCACCTGACATGTCAGCCGTGACACTTTAAGTATTTTTTGCCCAAGGTCACGCTCCAGGTACTCGTGTGGACATTCTGCAGGTGTCGACATTCCAAGCAGTTGGCGAGTTTTAATGAGCTGTGAAGCTCAACTGCCCGGTTCATGAACGCCTCAGATGTTCGTGTTGAATGTCCTGCTTCTCTCCCTGTGGCCTGGCTGGCTCCTGACATGCCTCCTGTTGAGCTTTAATTAATCATTAACCAAACTGGGTTACATTTGTCAAAACAAACACTTTGTTCCCATGTCAGGGCAAATAACCAAGATGCACGTTTCTCAAACAGGAAGTGGTTAATTTTCAGGGATTGCTTGTGTTTTTGTTTTGTTTTGGAACATTTTTTTTTAATATTCATAGTTTATTTGTAGAGACCTTTTTTTTTTTTTTTTTTTTTCTAGAGACATCTCCCACACACAACCCCCCTTGGCCTGACCAAAAAGAGTTCACTCAGTGCATGCACACATATATCTTCTACAGTTTTAGATTGCAGAGATAAATGAGAGGGGAATAAAACATCTTTTTGTGGTTAAGGTCTTACAGTATTCATGGTTGTCTGAAAGAACAAACTCTAAAACTCCCACAAGCACAACTGTGGCTTCAGGTTTGTGGACGCCAACAAATAAAAGTATTTAATTGAATGGGATGTTCAGGATTGTTGTGGATTTTAAGGCGCACATGAAGTTTAGAGTATTAGCCTCCTTTTTTTATCTTAATGTTTAATTTAGATCATGCTGCATTCACTGACCCATTCGTGGGATAATAGTGCTTTTTTGTTCTGGTGTTTGCTTTGCTATTAGAAGAAAAGTTTTCTTAGCAGTTATAGTTAACTCGGTAAAGAACTGTGCTATTTAAGCTCTACTTGTCCGTTTCTAATACTTCATAATCTATTTTTTTTATCTGATCCTGTTTTTAGTTTGTTTTAGTAACTTAAGTTTTTTTTTTATTTTATTTCTCAGTACAGTGTAGGTATAAATACTTTTGAGTGCTTCGTGGCTGCGCTTCTTGTATTCATGTTTTCTGTTTTTACAGCAAAAAGTTCCAGGATGCGCTGTCATATAAGGTAAGGTTGTAAATGTTACTTCATAAATATAATAATTCATTTTAGCAGGCGCATTAAACTGAAGCGTTCTGATTGTTTATCTGCACATCATCAACAAAGCCTTGATGGTTTTCTGTAAAATATCTTCATCGTTACAGGTTGTATGTGTGTTTTCTCAGTTTTCCTCTTTGTGAAGATGCCTCATATTAAATGCAGTATAACTAAATCAGAGGCAGTGAATTGGAAAGTTTTAGTTTGCCATGCCGGAGCGAAATCTCAATGGCTCGTGGAAAAGTGAGCACATTCTCACACCACAGCTGGTAAACACAGACAAGAAAGACTCGAACAAATGTGAAACAAGCAAACAGAGGGCTAGCTTGGGTTGCACACTTTTTTTTCTAAATCTATTATTAATTTAGTAATTAAGAACAATTTCTGGTTTCATGGAAGTCACTATTTTATCTAAAAGCCAATATTAAAAATGTTTTGTTGCTTAAATATTTAGCAAGGCACTGATCTAGTTGAGTGTTCAGCTTCAGTTTGAAGCTTTATTTTCTTTATTCTGTTAGACACTAAAGTTTCACGCTGTAGCAGCAAGCTGCTAGATTTACATTAGTTCAGGTATAATTGGACTAATCAGTTTATCTTGAAATCTCCATAAGTTGGACTTTGCAACAACCAGCTCAACCTTTGAGAATTAAACCCACAACCTTTTTAAAAATCAGACAATAACACATAATTAATGAGAGTTTTACACAAACCGCTGTCCTGAGAACAAACACTCTTCAGGACTTTACAAGGGAGCATTCTCAGCCTGCAGCCTCAGCACAGACAGATCGCTGCTCACTGGGAGGGCCCATCCCAACATGATGTATGGGCGCTGTCGGAGCCCCCGGGGGTAATCTGTGCAGAGTAGCTACAGGTCCTAACCATAGCAACGTCAAGTTGACGTGTCACAACACTGGACCAATTCCTTTCTTTTGTGCAGGGCAGCAATCAGATTTTACAAGGCTCGGGTGACTCAGAACATATCAGATTTACAGGACACGTGTACTGGAATACTGGGTTGGGATTTCCATTTAAATATATGTGCAAAAGTCTGGTCCGCAAACATTAAGGAACATTTGAACATGAAGACATGCAGCAAGAGAATTCTTTAATCTTTGTAGACCAGCGAAGACGTTATCCGTCACCTTAAACCCGAGCTCTGAAGTCCAACGTCTGGTCCTGCTAAGAGCCCTGCTCCTACACCGTGGCCCTTAACAGGGACCATCATCAGGTTTGTAAACAGATTATTTCCAGTTTGTTGGTGGGCAGAGAGCGAACAGCCCACAATGGATGAGATGATAAAGTAAAGAGCTGGCCCATTTTCAGCTGGTTTAGGACAATCATGCTAGGAAGTTTAGCCCCGAGGCAAGTGAGCGATATGTGGTCGAGCTGTTTTGTAATTTCAGCCAAAACACGTTACCCAATCTGTGCACACCAAGAAGTGTAGACATCTTGGTGTGCACATCTAAACCTGGATTACATTGATGTTTGGGAGTATCTGGTTGAATCTCTAGGTTTGTTCCCCAACAGGCTGATTTTCTGTTTTCTTCTTTAGTTAAAACAGGTTACACATATTAAACTTGCTTTAGTTTCTTTATTTCAGTATCCGTTCAGACCGGCGTGTATCGAGGATAATGTGAGCTGTATACAGGAGACAAATCACAGAATTTTATATGGCCAAAAAAGAAAAATCAAATTTACGCCACAGACACGGCCCCCATTCTTCACAGTCCAGCCAGTCCTGTTGAAAGCAGACTCTCCTTTCGTTTATCTGGGTTGTTTAGGCTCCGTATATGGCACCAGGAAGTTATGCTCCTCTTTCCCCACCTATTTAGGAATCCAACCTCACCACAGGTGACGTTAAAATGTTTGAAGAAGCATGTCACTGATGTAAAGTGAAAGCTGCATGTATTTCTGCCCACCAGTGAAGGTTAGAATCAGAAGGTCAGTGATCTTCTGTTCAGTCTCACAAGCACGTTGGGTTTAAAACATTTCTCTTTGGGGAACTGTTTTATCTTCAGTCATATCCAACGTTGTTATTCAAACTAAATGACAGGTCAGTATGCTCCTGTATATAACACTAGTCATCTAGTGCACAACAAATGTTTTTTATGAACTTTTAGGAGGTCCAACAATGATACAAAGCTTCATACATCTGAATATATACAAAACTCTACATAATTATTGTTGTTGTGACAACAGATTATTTTAATTAGGAGAAAAAAAGCACCAATATTGTTGTTGTTTTGGGGGGATAACTGACATTGGTGCCAAATATTAAACATTGGAATTTAATAAACTACAGACCCTTTCCAAAAAAATTAGAATATCATGGAAAAGTTGTTTAACTTTCATAATTCCATTCAAAAAGTTAATCTTTAATAGATGATAGATTCAGGGCCCACAATTTAAACGATTTCAAGTATTTGTTTATTTTTACATAATTTGGGCTTCCAGCTCATGAAACCCACGAAAACATGATTAAAAGAAAATAGAATACTGTGGAGACAACAGCCCACACTACTTCTCAGTTTTTGCAGAAAATATGAAGGAAAGTAGGATCACAACAAATCAATCAAAATATGGTACATTCAAAACAGTATGTCAGTCTTTAATACTTGGTTGGGAATCCCTTTGCCTTAATTACTGCCTCGATGCGACGTGGCTTTGAGTCAATCAGTCTGTGGCATTAACTGGGAGTTATGGAAGCCCAGATTTCCTTGATGCTGTCAGCTCTTCTTTGTTGTTGGGTCTGGTGCTCCTCATTTTCCTCTTAACAAGACCCCATAGATTCTCAATGGGGTTTAGGTCCGGTGAGTTGTCTGGCCAGTCAAGCACTGTGGCATGGACATCAAACCAGGTTCTGGTGCTTCTGGCGGCATGGGCAGGGGCCAGGTCCTGCTGGAAGATGAAATCTGCATTTCCATACAGATTCTCCGCAGAAGGAATCATGAAGTCCTCTAAAACATTCTGGTAGACTGTTGTGGTGACCTTGGATTTAAGAAAGCAGAGTTTACCAACACCTGCACCGGACATTGCACCTCAAATCATGACTGACTGGATATTTCACATGGACCTCAAGCAGTATGGGCTCTGTTCCTCACCCTTCTTCCTCCAAACCCTTGGACCTTGATTTCTGAATGAAAGGCACACTTTACGTTCAACGGAAAAGAGTTGGCTCAGGTTCAGAAGTGGCTTGACTTGAGGAACCCGACAGTTGTAGCCCATCTCCAGGATGCGTCTGAATGTGGTGGTTTTTGAAGCTGTGACTCCCGCCTCATCCCACTTTTTCTGGATCTCTGCCAGATTCTGGAATCTTCTCTGTTTGATAATCTGCTGAAGCCCACGGTCATTTATTTTGCTAGTTTATCTTCTCATGCCACATTTTGCCCTTCCACTAGACTTTCCATTGATATGCTTAGACACAGCACTCTGTAAACAACCAGCCTCCTTAGCTATGAACTTGAACTTGAACCTATGGAGGGTATCGATGATGGTCTTCTGGCCAGTTATGTCTGCAGTCTTCCGCATATTGAACCGAACTGAGACAATTGAACCAAATTGAAGCAATTTAATGACACCTGGGGAAATCTGTGCAGGTGCTTAAGTTTAGTAGATGATTAGTGTGTCACACTCAGTTTAAATCATTCATGCCCTGCAAAATTTGGGCTGATGTCTTCACAGTATTCTAATTTTTTGAAATCCTGTTTTCATGTCTCATGAGCTGGAAGCCCAAATTATGTAAAAATAAATACTTGAAATAGTTTAAATTGTGGGCCCTGAACCTATCGTCTATTAAAGATTAACTTTTTAAATGGAATTATGGAAGTTAAACAACTTTTCCATGATATTCTAATTTTTTGGAAAAGGTCTGTGTATATACAATACAATTACTTTAATATGCAAGTGCAGCTTCTGTCCCTTTGTTTGAAGTGTGCTAAAGGACCGACTGAAACCACACACACACACACGCACACATTATAAAAAAAGATTTGGTAGCTCGATTCTTCTTGTGTCAACATGTACATGAAGAAATAGGTGGATGGAGTTAGATGGGGCTCAGCCTTAATCATCTTTCTTCCTTTGATTTTGTTTTCATTTGTTCTTTATTTAGGCTTTCTTTAGAAAACCTGTTTTTTTTTTCTGTGTTTTTCTCCAAGACAACACTTGCAGAACCAAAAACTGCAGTGCATAGTTTAAGCCCAAACCATAACTGTCCTTCTGGAGCAATAGTAGTTAAACTAAATGACAGCACGCTGACAAATGGTGCTGGAATAAAGAGTTAATGGTCTGAGGTATTGGTGCTTAACGTTAAGGAGCTGCTCTGTAGCCTTGCATTCAGCGTTGACCCAGTGGTGTGAAAAACGGCATCAATTAAAGCAGAGGCAGGTTTAGAGATGACATACGGCTCTCTCGACTCACTTGTTACGTGAGCCATAACAAGGCAAAAGCAGAATAGGAAAGCTTGTCCTTTGTCTGGACATAAATTACCTGAGTTCATGTGGCCTGTGGGTGGAGCTGACAAGAATGTTCTACATACTTCATCCTGGTAACAGCGGCTGCATTCATTTTCTATGTGCCGTGTATTTTTGACAAAAATACAAATGAGAAAAATGTCACTAAAACTAATTACAGGCAAACGAGCAACTGCAACTTGGATTTCTGTCACAAGATGTAATGGCATCTAATGTGAGAAGGCAGGCAGTGAGCAACCACAGGAGGCTCGTTAGAGAGTCTGGCTGTTAGTGTTGATGCCAGAAGTTTGGATGCACAACCAACTTTGTTTTGTGTTAAAATAACCATGTCAGTTATGAGACAACAGATTTGATCTCTGTCCTAAACACCCCAGGTATTCCTCCACTGTTAATCCAAACACACCTTTTAATCCCAGCCACATTGTGCATTGTTGCATCTGTATATGTTGGTTTTCCTTATTTTGACTCAGCAGTTACCTGCAAGTCTAATAGGAGGAAATATAGAAATAAAAACTGACTCAAAGGCCTAGTGTTTCCTTGGAGGAATTACCTGCTGGAGTTTCTGTGTTAAATTAGAATTAGTGTATCTGCTTCAGTGCCTCTTTCCTGCGGGGTCTCACAGGGCTCGATTCTTGGACCCCTTCTGTTTCCACTCTATCTGCTCCCTTTGGGGTCTATCCTGAGGAAACATGATATTTCATTGTTAGGCTGATTGTCAGATTTATCTTCCATTGAAACCTAATAGTTCTTATTCCATTCACCCTCTGTTACAATGTCTTGATGACATCAAGGCATGGATGGCTTCAATTTTTTAAAAAGTTTTAATGATCAGAAGACTGAGGTCATTGTGTTTAGCCCTAGCTCTACTGCTGTCTCTGATCCTGTAAACCTTGACTCTCTGGAGCCATATCGTAAGCAGTCTGTTAATCTTGGGATGGTTTTAGACTCTGACTTTAAGTTTAATAAACAAATTAACTCTGTTCTGCAGAAAAGCTTCTTCCAGTTAAGGCAGATAGCTAATCTTAAGTCCATGTTGACCACGTCTGACCTTGAAAAACTAGTCCATGGCTTTATTATTATTATTATTCCTCCCACAATCCAAAAACATGCACGTTGGGCTATCTTCAGGCCCAGGCCTCCCTTGCAAAAGAGATCTGTGTCTCAGTGGGATTTGCCTGATTAAATAAAGGTTAATGAATAAATAAATTACTACCTGACTAGACTACTGTAACACACATTATGTTGGGGTCAGTCAGGTCCCCATTTCATGTCTCCAGCTCGTCCAAATGCTGCAGCTGAACTATTAACAGAATCTTGTAGGTTTGATCATATTACACCAGTTTTGTCCTCCCTTCACTGGCTCCCTGTACATGCATCAACATTTATTTTAAAATTCTCCTGCTATCCTTTAAGTGCATAAATGACGTTGCACCCTCATCTCTCTGAGCTACTGGAACCATATGTTCCTTCTCGGGCCCTGAGATCATCTGATCAGCTGCTTTTGGCTGTTCCAAAAACCAGATTGAAGCTCAGAGGAGATGGGACTTTTTCAGTCGTGGGCCCCAAACTTTGGTACAATCTGCCCTCCAACATTAGACAGACCACGTCTCTTCTTGTTTTTAAATCTCTGCTAAATACCCACCAGTTTTCCCTGACTTTTAATACAGTATGATTCGATTTTGGTGTTTTATTGTTCTGTGCTTTTATGTTTTATTTTGATGCTTTTAATTGATTTTTCAGTACTATCATTTTTTTCCCCATTAAATTACTCCCATTTATTTTTATTGTTAAGCACTTTGGTAACAGCTGCTGTTTTAAATGTGCTTTATAAATAACGTTGACTTGACTTGCTCCCACAAGAGAGTTGTAGCTGCTTTGCTTAAAAATAACATACATAATCTCGTGATTTGTTAGTGCTTGAAATATAGCCATTTTGTGTTGCTACAGTTAGTTAGGTGTGGCAGCCATCTTTAATGAGTTTATCAGTTGTAGCTATGCATTCATTGATTACTTTCTGAGGGTTTCATTAAAACCTGTCCACTTGATGTGAATCGTAAAAAACCTTCTCAGATAGTGAAGTCTGGAACGTCAAACTGCAGCGCTCCATCAGCCAGAAGAGACATTTTATGTTGTATATTATTTATAGTATTGAATTCCTGGTGAAAAAAACTCAGCCATGTCATCTGCTGGTAATGATTTCCTGCCTTTTCCTCCATGCTTGCTGAAAGCAGCTGCATGGTTGGACACAAAAACAAGCAGATGTAGAAAAAATGGACGAATACATGAGCAGAAGTGTACCCTGCTTTGTATGAGTTCAGTCTCTGGTGTTTTGGTTTGAAATTGAACATGTAACATTCTTGTGTTTGTTGCCAGTTTCAATAAAATGTTTTTGTTTGTCAACTTTCCAGGAGCACATGATCCTCTGTCGTTTTGCAGATCAAACTGCTGTCCAGCTCCCGCCTGACAGGCGCCACATCGGTACGACTTCAATCTCCTTCCTAAAGTAGTCGTATACAGTCCTGAGCTCATTGAACTGTGGAAAGTACTTAGACACTGGAGTTTAAGTTAGCATTACCATTACCTTGACAGATCCATCCATCCATCCATCCATTATCTTGAGCTCAAAGCTGATATGGTAGTAGCTGAGTGTTATCCTCATCACATACTACAAGCACCGACGGATCACATGGGATCTGTTTCTTTTTTTAATTTTGCATGCAGTGTGATAAAAAAAACAAGTGTTTATTCTGTATTTCTGGCCTTATGCTGGAGCTTCACACACACACACGTTCAAGCTGCTGTTTTACACACTGTGTTATGTTACATTATTATTGTTTAGCGTATATCTTAGATCCTTATATACTGTTTCTTTTTGTTATACTTTTGCTATTTTTGGGTGTAACTGGAACCTTGAGTACACAATTTTGTTCCACCTCATGTACCGCATGTGATGCAAATGACAAAGTCTCCTTGAAGCTTGAACACACATTAGCGTAGGAGGACATAGAAGCCACTGACTTCAAAACTCGACAGCTCCTCACAATGCATGGAGGTTTTCATCTCAAGTCCAGCACCCTGAGACTATACACTGAGAGACAGGAGGGAGGCAGCTAGTCTTCTGCCTCCCTCCTGTCTCTCAGGGTGCCGAGTGTCCGAGCCACTATACAGGATGAAACAACTAAGAACCTGGAGTATATCAGGAGGAAAGCCCCTGATGATGAACAGGTAAGTGAATGTCTCAGGCAGCAGCAGAGACCCAGTGTGGAAGAGATGGAACAAGAGGAGCCATGATGGAAAAATAAGCCCCTGCACATCATGCACCACATGGACAGATCCTCCAAGTACCTTTTGGTGCTTGCCAGGCCAGCACTGTCAATAAGAATTTATTTTTAGTGTCTGGTTAAATAAAGGTGAAATGAAAATATTGATGAAATGGCTGATATCAACAAATCTTACCTATTCAATTTACCTTCTGTTGTCATTGCACTGAAGAACGGCACAACGAAACGTACTGGCAACATTCCAGTAGCAGCACCATTCCCTCTTTGTGTTTGGAGTTAAAACTTTTACATCTTCAGTGAACAGTTGGTAGATCAGAGTTTGAATAAAGAGCTTCTGCATCCAAGCTCTACTGTGCAGTGTTCCATCTAGTGGAGAGCTCTCTTCACCCTGATAGCTCTTCAGTTTATCAGAAAAAAGCTCCCTGAAGCCTCATCAGACTGAAGACTTTTTATGTGTACCTGACGGCACCAGTCTCTCTGGTGTATTCCTCTATCCACTAACAGATCTCTTCAGATCTTTCACACTAACGCTGTTTTTACAAGCTTCCCTCTCTTCTCTCCTGAGACTTTACCCATCAGGAAATGGCAGATCAGCACTTGCATTCAGCGTGGTTACAATCAGCTACCAAAATGCTACATGGCGCATTCATTAGTGTTGAGAAAAGTTTTATTTTATATGAAAATTCAAGTACTGTTGTGGAAATCAGCAGGGAGAGTTCACGTCAGAGGGATAAACTACAAAGCAGGTTCAACAAAGCTGGGCTTTTTATCTTAGCTTGCTAACATACATATGAGAACAGCGTTGTTGATGGTTATTTTTATATTGTTCTTTGTCAGGCCGGCTGGGTGATGGTCTGGAATAAGCATAAGTGCTAAGGCTAAGCCCCCAGTTCACCACCGATTACGTTTCCAATCGTTTTTCCTCGCTCGGTGACACACCCCCTGAGAAGCAGACCCTGGTCAGTGGCAGTTCCATAGTTCAAAACGTGTCTTTAGTGACTCCAGCGACCATAGTTAAATGCAATCCAGGGGCCAGATTGGGCGACAGTCCTACATGAAACTGCTGGCTGAGGCTAAATACAGTAAGACTGTTATTCACGTCGGCCGTAATGACACACGGTTAGATCACTAAAATTAATGTTGCTTCGATGTATAACTTTTCAAAATGCATGTCGATCTCAGTAGTTTTGTTCTGCTCCTCTCCCCTACCTGACCAGTGATGACAAGTGATGACTGTCCAGGTGGTGTCCTGAAAACAATGCGGGCTACATAGATAGGGCCTGTCATTCTGTGTTTGTTTCTCCTTCCTGTTCCTCTCAAACCCCAGCCGGTCGAAGCAGATGGCTGCTTGTCCTGAGCCTGGTTCTGCTGGAGGGTTCTTCCTGTTAAGAGGGAGTTTTTCCTTTCCACTGTCTCCTCTGTGTTTGCTCAGGATGGGAAACTGTGATGAAGTAAAGATCCAACACAATCTGCTGGTTTCTTTAGATAGATAACTTTTACTAATTTGCTTTTTTAACGTATGTGAATGATTTTGTACAGTGCCCTGAGAGGACTTCTGTTGTGACTTGGGGCTATAGAAATAAACTGAACTGATTTTTTCCATAAATACTGTATTGCTTTTAAATTGTTCCAGTATTGAATATTTGATCTTCCTGTCTGACAGGATATAAAAAGGTTGTTTTACTCTGATTTCCTGGTGGATATGTTATCAGGAGATGAATCAGGGAACAAGAGGTCTTTCTTACAGTTTATCTTGAATTATTGAAAAGAACTGACTCCAGACCAGGTTTTGAGTTTAACCATTTGATGGTAGCTGCTAAACACGTACAGTAGTCCCTTGCTACTTCACAGTTCGTTTATCGCAGATTCGCTCTATCGCGGTTTTATAAATTAAGATTTGACTCGACACGTAATTGGCTGACTGATGGATGAGCCGCACAATCGGCATTGAATTTTTATGTAAAATTAATCATTTTAAATTATTCAGCACCTTCTGCACCTTTGTGCAGCCCAGAGCTGCAGAAAAAGCTTCCTCCTGCACTTCTGTGCAGCCCGTACTGCTGCAGGATAAACTTCCTCCTGCAGCTGACCAGCTGATCTGCGTGCAGAGCAGAGAAGTGGGCGTGGCTGAGAGCAACAGAGGTAGAGCTGAAATCATGACATTCTGTGCTCTTTTAGAGCGTTTAGAGTTTAGAAATATTGTTTAGAATATTGCAAGAGTGTGGGAAGGGTTTAAAACATGTTATTATCTATATATATATATATAAATACTAAAATAAATTACTACTTGCTACTTGTACTACTATTCCTACTTTGTGGTTTTTCACTTATCGCGGGGCTTCAGGGTGCAGATCCCCCGCGATAAACGAGGGACTACTGTATTCACTTAATTTTGTATTTGTTTTTTTTTTTACTTCACACTAAAATATTTACATCTTAATATTAGTTAGGAATTTAAAAAGTGTATTTTACGTTATTTTATCCATCAACGAAAATGAAAACATGATGATTTTAATGTTTTTCTTTGCCTGCAGGTAAACAGTGTATGGGCTTGGTAGACCTGGATCGATCGTGGGCAGCAGAGGCTCATGGGTACTCTGTGCAGGTGATGACCATGGAGCCTGAAAGCTGTTCGCCTAAGAACAACATGTTGGTGGGAAGGCCGCCACCGGTGACTACACAGGAAGTCTGTGACGGCCAACTGGAAGCAGGGCTGCAGGATTAGGACTGTGGGAGCACAGCTGAACGTTGTCCCAAGAATCAGAGTTGGCTCAAGCACCAAAGCTGCGTTTCCTTCTGACTCAATCATCACTTGGTTTTTACGTTTCCCCTACATTTTTTATTAGGTATGCATGTGCAGATTTGGTTTAAATATAAAATAATAAAAAATGGCCACTGCGTTTGTAAAATAAACATAATCCCCCCTCAATTCTTTTTTTTTTTTTGTTTGTAGAGCAAACTGAAACTGCTAAACTGTGATTTTATATTTTCCAACATCTGACTGAGAGTGCTCCTCCTCTCCTCAGATAAATCCCTTCAGTCGTTGCTGCTTGGTTTTAATAAAAGAGCTGAAGTCTTTCACCAACTTGCAGGGTGATGCTCGTGTCTTTGCCTTCAGTGTTTGTTCAAGCTGTCCGTGTGCACACGCAGCAGGAGTCTCACACCCACTTCACTAATGAAGTGCACCGTACGTCCACATTTGCAAAGAAAATGCCCTTCAGAGAAGGCGCTCATCAGTCAGCTCCGTCTGATTACTGAAGGAGATCCAGAGCTCGGAAACTCATCTGCGCCTACAGATGAGATGTGGAATGGCCTTCGCCTCATCTCGCCTCCACTTCTGTGTGTTCTGATGAAAGTCTGAACCGGAAAGTTGTCCACTGAGGGGGAAATAAGATTGATACTCCCATCACATCAGGTAAAAAAGAAGACTTTTCCTGCAGATTATTTCTTGTGAACAGGCTACACATTCAGTCATAAATTCAACAGCCATGAATATTTTACAACTCTGCCAAGAAGGTCAGTGTGCCTGATTAGGTGCGTGGTTCAGATCCCAATCGCTGAGCATTACACGCCGCTGCTTTTCCACTTTGTTGACAAACTGCTCCTTAACATCTCATTCCTGCTGGGGACTCTGCTTCTCTCAAAAATAATAATTTTCTGCCACAAAAGTGAGGCAGCTGCAGGAGAAAAGTTAGGAGGCAGCTGAAGAGCCGTCACAGAGGAGATATATGTAGGAAATGTAGGCTTTTTAGACACGACCTCATCTGAATTCAGTCAGCGGAGTCAATCTGTCCTGAGGTGAATGGCCACAAACAGCTCCCTCCAAGGAATGGTCTTCTTTTTTAAAGAGGCGTCTGACGTTTCTGCTTGTGGCTCTGCAGCCAGGATACAGAGGCAGGCGGTTCAGCCTGAAGCCTGCATGAGAAGGAGGATCATTTGAAGCTGGAAAAGGTTGACTTAAAACACAAAGAGCTGGAGTGGATTTATTTCACTTTTTGGGGTTTAGAACAGGGATTTGTGTTTACTGTTTAGTTTTTTTTGCCTAAATGATAAAACTTTTCTTTAATAGTGACTTTCCTCAGAGAGCTTTTACCTGAGTGCTTCATGGTTGTACAAAGAGCTGAAAACATGTTCTGGTCGTGTAGCTCAAAGACAACCAGACATATACCTCCAAGCTGTTGGACGTCCCCTCAGATATTGAACTTGCTTTTTAGATTTACTTCTCAGCTCTGTCAATAAATTGTCTTTTTTTCATTTGCATATTTTCAAATCCTCGGTGCTGACAGTTATTGTTCATATGGTTTGCATTTTTAATCCCATTTAAATTCACACAGTGTTTAGTGAGGTATTTCTGAGTGCTGGAGTTCTGATTTTTACTTTTCTATTATAAGTGCTGCTTCCTGTGAGCTCTCATTAAATCATCCATCCACGCTGGAGTTGTCTCATAGTTCATGAAGAATGCAGAATGTAATTACTCACTTCACACCAGTGCTTCATTAAACTCTAACATAGCCCATATCACACAAATTTAACGCTAGCCTTGGCCTTGAAAGTGGAGGGTGATATGCATTCCTTCAAAGAAAGGTGTCCGTTTTAACATCTCATAGAATCAAGAATTGTGGAGCGGTGTTCTCTTTATGGGTGATTCCTGGTTTTCACTGTACAGGGCAGATGGCAGACTGTGTGTGTGTCAGTGTGTGTGTGAGAAGTTTGCTGATGTCATCACTGTGAATAGAGTAGACCATGGTGGTGGTGGTGTTATGGTACGGGCTGTCGTATGTAATGCACAACGAACACAGGTACATTTTATTGATGACATTTTGAATGCACAGAGATACCATGATGAGATACTGAGGCCCATTTTTCATCCACGATCATCACCTCGTTGCAGCATGATAATGCACAAGCCCGTGTTGCAAGGATCTGTACACAATTCCCTGGGTGCTTACATAGCTGCCCACTGCTCCACATGGGTGTATCTTATGTGTGATGGGTTAAATGTACAGAAGTAATTTTGCCATTGTATGGGAACGACAACACAGCACTTTACAATTCCTGGAAGCTCAAAACATCCCAGTTCTTGCATGGCCAGCATACTCACTGGACATGTCACCCACTGAGCATGTTTGAGATGCTCTGTATCAGCTTATACGACAGCACGTTCCAGTTCCTGAAAATACCCAGCAACTTAACAGCCGTTGAAGAGGAGTGGACCCACACTCCACAGGCCACAATCAACAACCGGATCAACTCTATGAAGGAGATGTGTTGCACTGCAGGAGGCAAATGGTGGACACACCAGATACTGACTGGTTTTCTGACTCCCAGACCTCACCGATACAGTAAAAGAGCACATTTTAGAGTGGCCTTATATTGTGGTCAGCCTAAGGAGCACTTGTGCAATAATCATGCCGTCTAATCAGCACCTTGATGCATCACTTCTGTGAGGTGGATGGATCATCTCACTAACACAGATTTGCACAAATCTGTGAAGAATATTTGAGAGAAAAATGTCTACGCAGTATTTACCTCTGGCTCTGGTGTTGTCTCTAATGAGGCATGATTTGGAAAATCTGCATAACCTGTTCCTCGGTGTGAAATGTAATAAATCGGTGTCATTCTACCACACTGTGACTGATTGACTAATTATAAAAAGCAACATTTCTGTCATCACTTCACGTCGAACCTCTTTGCCACCCAGTAAGTTTATTACCAAACAGGTGACGGGCGTGAAATGCTACGACCAGCGCCATGAATCAAGAGATGACTGAGAACAACCAGCAGCATCAACGCTTCCTCTCTCTCATTTTCTTCTCCAAGAAGAGGCTGTTTGGTTAGTTTGTCATTAATTTCTTCTTCAGGTGGTTCTGCCAAACAGACGTGTGTCCCAACAGAAATGAGAACAGCAGTTCTGAATCTGACAGGAGGTTCAGGATCTGCTGCTGTGCGTTGAGTCAAACCAGAGGTAACCACGCTAACACCTGTCGTTTAAAGGTTTTATGCTGAGCTGGCACCTCCTGTTTATTCAGGTTGTTTCTGATGGATCCATGTGGACAGGAGATAGTTTCTGAAATGTTTATGACGCAACCTGTCTCAAACATGCTCACCATCACCTTGTGCCTGACAAAAACAAACAATATGCAGCTGTTTGGTCCTTCTCACATCCTGACTTCTACTTTGGACATTCTTACCACCTCATGGCATGGCATGGGTATTTCAGCTCGTGCTCATATCATCTACGCATATAGAAGTACCGGACACCCTAGGAAACCCTGCAGTAGGTACAGCATCACAGGATGGTTGTTAGACTCGGCCTCACTCGTTAACAAACAGGACATCATCCTTGTTAATGGAAAAAAAACCCTCATCTAACGATGATGAAGCATTGAGTTCAAGTGTTTCACTTTTTGATTGCTAATGTACGTTCAAATATCAAAATTTCCTACATTTTTAACTGTGATTACTTATTTGATGTTCAAAGGGAAAGCCCAAAGGTCTGTTGTTCCAACCTGAGACTGCAGCGTCCATCTTGGTCCTGCCTCTGTTTGGACTAGCTGCTTGCTCGTCAATATGGTCAGAATTCAACTAATTCTCCAAACAGAGGCCATTTAAAGACCTATCTACAACAGGTCAGATATTTGGCCATTTGCCCCGAACATTTTATGGAACTCCCACATCTAAATTCATTTAACCTTTATTTATACAGGTTAGTCTCATTGAGCCTCTGCGACTCATTTACAAGAGAGACCTGGGTTTTAACAAATGATGACAACAGCAGACAATTATAAAACACAAACAAAGGTTGAGAAGAACAAATAAAATAAAATGGTATTAAAAAATGTAACAAAAACAACTACGTCATAAAATGTTGTAAAATACTAAAATCAGGAACATGTCTGTGTTTTTTGCCATGAACTTAGCAGATGTTTGAAGCCACTTAGAGAGGTCAAGGTCGAGAGCTTCAGGTCTTTTTGTAAGATATTTCAGGAAACGGGAGCGGAGTAGGAGAAGAACATTTTGCCAAATTCAGTCCTCACTGAGGGAACACTGCAGGTAATAATGTCCTGAGAGTGCACGCTGTAGCTGCACTCACACAGAGACATGTAGGAGGAGATGTATGAAGGCAGCAGACCAAGAAGTGATTTAAAGATGAAAATGTACCAGTGAGAGAGTCTACATGAAGTTAATGGTGACCAGTTAACCAGTGAATACTGGGTGCAGTGGTGGGTACGATAATCACAGCCAGTTATGAATCTTAGTGCACCATGATAGACAGCATCCAACATCTGCAGGGTTCTTGTAGGAGCATTCATGTAAATAATGTCACTGTATTCAATGGAGGGAAGGAAAGTTGCAGTTAAGGTGTTTCCTAGTGTTCAGAATTAAACAGGATCTGTTTCTGAAAAAGAAACCCAGCTTAACTTTCAGTTTAGGTTCTCCACATGGAGCTTAAAAGAGCGATGTAAATCGACCAAGATACCCAAATATTTCTAGGAATTGACAAACTCAATAGGGACGCCTTTCCAAGATTGAAGGAAGAACTGCTGGGAAATAAATAGTTGAAACATCCCTTTAAAGTAAAATGACCGCTTCTCTAACTGTTCTTGTTCTGTCCTTCAGCCTCATCAGTGTCCTGAGCAGCTCCTGGGTGGTCCCAGCACCTGCGTGTCTCTGCAGGTTCCGCTCAGTCATTAAAGCCCCCCTTTAAAACTAAAGCACGCGCATAGCCCTCCGTGGCGCCCCCCCCCCCCCCCCCCCCCCCCGTGTCTCTGCAGGTGAGGTGAAAACACCAGGACCATCAGCTGAGTGCATGTTCTTCACACTGCTGGCTCTTTTCCTCTCAGCCTGCAGGGTGCTGCTCCCTGATCATGTGAGGGGGCGGGGAGGAGGAGAGGGGGGGGGGGGGGGGGGGGGGG